CCTCCCCTCCCCTCCCCTCCCCTCCCCTCCCCTCTCTTCTCTTCTCTCTTCGAGACTGGTTTCTCTGTAATAGAACTTGCTTTGTATGCCAGGCTGGCCTTTAACCAGAGAGATCTCCTGCCTCTGCCTGCTGAATGCTGGAAATAAAGGCATGTTCCACTACCTTTTGAAGAGTGGTTACAAGGAAGCTAACACACATTCCCTTCCCGTAGTCAACTCTGTGTTGAGACTCTGTTGCTGAGTATTACGTATCACAACCGCAGGTCAGTTATAACCATGTTTACAGATGAGGAGGGAGGCTATGCCTCAGGAGTAGAAACTTTTATAGCAATTTGGGATTCAAACTCCATATACCAACAAATACCTACAGAGTATTTTCCTATATAAAATATTGCCTATATGAAGGGAAAAATGAAAAGGCTTTTCCAAAGTCTACTTTAAATGTCAGTGATAGAGGCCTAGAAGATGGCTCGGGGTAGAAGTGCTTTACTTTTACCTTAGCTCTGAGGTACTGAGTTCAAATCCTTTGAACCCATGTAATAGCTGGACAGGAAGCAAAGAGTCTGCAGTAGCAGCATCTTACAGGGACAAAGGAATCCTCAGACACTCATGGGCAAACTGGTATGCACAATGGAAAAACAACACAGGACATCTTGTCTCAAATGAGGTAAAAAGTAAAGACTGATACTTAAGGTCGTTCTCTGGCCTTTGTGTGTTTTAAAGCATGCACATGCCCATTTTAACCAACACATGAATGTGCACACATTCACAGGACAAAGTCAGTAGTAGAATTGTGTTTAGGTATCATGAGTTCAGTATGTAAATGACAGGCTGTATGAAATAAAATGTAACATCTGCCTCACTGCCCCAGAACAATGGGATTCTACGGCTGTAAGCATGAATTACACGTTTGCTTTTCACATGCTGGATAATGTAGGTTTCGAGTTCTAGAGTTCATAAGACTAAGTTCACAGAGAATGTTCTAGGGCCTACTAATGCTCTGGCCTATCTTACCTGGGTTCTGAGAATAGTTACTAATGTACATTCAGAGGTTGCTCTCCATCTGGTGTGGCTGGTTTTCCTTCACTGGGTGTGAAGGGACTTTGAAAGTAGGTAAGAGAGGGACTGACTTTAGTTGGCCTTGATTTGTAGATCTGAGGAGAGGGAAACGCCAGCCGAGGAAGCACTGAAATGATTAAAATGAGAGAATGAGTCGATACAGTTAGGTCCGTCGATGTATGAGGTGACTGGAACAGGCAAGTGGGATTGATTCTGTGCTGCCAAAGAGATACATCCTGTGAGATAAAAGGCATTCTTAAAAGTTGTGCTTTGTGTATTTCGTTTGATACAGGCTTATCCCTGCATGGACTGAGGGATTCATCCCAGATGAAGTCGTCTGAGCCTATAGTTGTACTCTTTGTCACCTTAAAAAAAAAAACCACATTAACCTTTAGGTTGAACATGTTAAGTGTCTCAACTTTGATGCATGACCACTTGTATTTTATTTTCCTTATTTTGTATGATTGTGTGTGTTTGTGTGTGTGTAGGCCAAAAGACAACTTGATGGATGGAGTCTGTTATCTTCTACCACTCTATGGGTCCCAGAGGTCGTCAGGTCTGGTGGCAAGCCCTCCAACCCGCTGAGCATCCTTGCCAGCCCGAGTAACCACTTTCTATTAGGAAAACTTTCGGTCTGTTGCGTACTTTCATGTGTCAGTGAGGTTCTGTGCAGGGAACAGAGAGGAGGGGGCAGCTGTGGCGGGCGGGGGGCGGGGGTGCGTGCCTCCGC